CCAAATTAAATATTTCATAATATTAATTATTTATAATATATAATTGTTCTATGTAGTACAATTTGCTGCCCACTCTTTTAGACTCCAAATGGTCAGTCATTTTGAATAGCATTCTAATTTAAATAGTATTTTTGAAAAATAGGGTAGAAATTTGAAAAGTTTTTTGTACATTTTTTAATAGCATTTTTGAAAGATAATTAGGCTATTTTTAACCTCTTAGGTTTGTTAATTTAACTAAACACCCCTAACAATAAAAGTTTATAAATTGAAAAAAACAGTCTCATCCACTCACATATTGCCGGTAGTCGGCCACCACCATCGAAAGGTAGCTGAAATTTGTTGGAATGGCGCATAACCGGTTGAATCTGGTCGATCGTACGCCAATCTAACCTTTTCCAGCTAAATTCATCGTGGATCTAATAAAATAATGTCAGATCTACTGCCACAGATCTGGTCTTTGTTGACTGCCAAACTTCGTTGACAGCTGGATCTCTAACCGTCGTTTGGCCGTCAACGATGGCCAAGATATGGTCGTCATCAACAATCAGATCTTTGGTCGTAGATCTAGCCGAAAATATGTAGATCGGCGCACGATTGGCCAGATCCAATCGGTCATGCACCATTGTGACACCAACAACTGACGATGCTTGCTAATGGGTGGTAGTGGCTCGAGTGGATGAGGGTATTTTTGTTAATTTTAAAACTTTTTATTGAAAAAGGTAATTGTTAATGTTTTGAGTTAAATTGGATTGGATTTTGAAGAATATTAAACCAAATGCATTTTTGGGTTTTTATGATAGGATAGTGGAAGAAGAGTATGCCAACGGAGCCTTAAATTTTTAATAATCAAGTTGTTTGCCCTTTTGAAAATTTGAGCATAAGAGAGGGGTAATAGGGTAATTTAAATCTCAAGGGATTGACTTGGTGGTCAATGAGGTTTATTCCTTTACTTGAGTTCTTGAATTTAAACCTTAGGATCACCTAATCTAAGAGTGTTCAATAGACTCTAGAGATTAATTGAAGTAAACTTTTATCAAATTTTGCTGGTATATTCGATAATAAAGTGTTTTTACGTTCAACCAAACCTTATATTATTTTTTCAGCTTTGACTACTTTTCATCAGTTATCCGTTTCAGTTTAATTATAATTAATAATTGATTTGGACTAACTTATTAAATTAATGATCATGGATATCTATATTAACTGGTCATTAGCCTGCCTAAGATATGCCAAATATATTGGATCTTCCTAACGAAGAAAATTCAAAATCGTTTACCGATTTCTTATCTCAATACGATATGTCTAAATCAACAACTAGAAATTTTTTAATTTATAAACAATAACAATCCCGAACGGCCTAAAAATTGACTAATTAAATGAATTATGTATAATCATACTTTAAGATTTGATTGTCACTTTAAACAATAAAACTATTTATCCCAAATGATATGTTAACAAACCCCTAAGGATCTGTTTGAGAGTTTTTTTTTCATTGGTTTTAGAGGGTTTTTAATTAGACTGGTTTTAAGGTGTTTAAAAACCGTTACTTGTCAGATTTTTAATGGGCTGATTTTGACTAGTTTAAAAACCCTTCAAAACCAGTATAGTGTATTTTTTAGGGGTTTATAAAACGCCCTAAATCGAGATGTTTTGGCTGGTTTAAAAATTTTATCACAAAAAAATCCCTTTCCACAGTAATCCCTTTGCTACTAAAACAAAAGTCACAGAGCCTCTTTCGTGCAACATAATCTATGTTTAATTGGATTAAGTTTAGAATTGCAAGCAAAAATTGTTTAACTTGTTGAAGGTGAAAAGGACAAAGAAGCACGTGATAAGCAACAGGAGGTTTACTGGTTTAACAGTTTGCGTCGGTGGACAGGACTTTGTTTCATTGAATGTTGATCTATTATGATAATTATCCAACAAAACAAATTCTTTCTAAAAGCAATGGGGATGAAGGAGACTAATGGATTTTTCAAGTCTTAATTTCAGCTAACAAAGTTATTATTTAATGCACATAGATTTCTAAGCCAAAAGAAAACAGAGATATAACAAAAGAGAGAGTGTTTTAACTTTGTTTGGTTGTGTTTGTATGAAGAAAGCGAAAGATAGATAACATTATAATTTACTGATTTGTACTTCTCTTCATTTAAATGTTTAAATTGGGGTATTTTTATGGATATATATATGTAAATTTATCATTTAAAAAAACTGTCAGAACCATTGAAAAATAAACTCCCAAGTACAAGTTGGGTGTTTTTAAAACTGCTACTAAAAACCCCTCAAAACCTCTACGGTGGTTTATCCTCAAAACCGCTATAATGATTTACTCTCATAACCGCTACCACAAAACTCTCAAGTAAACCCTAAAGGTTTGGTCTAATTGGAGAAAGCTTATTCAGTCTTAGCAAAGCTTTTGGTTCGAGTCTCTCTTGTAACCATCTTTTATAGATTACAATCCTCTTTTAGTTTGAGCTTTACATGACCTTTTTATAATCAGATATTTATTATATTAAAACTGTCCACTAAATTGACAAGTGGCTACGGCCACACGTACACTAGCCAACTGCGGCAGCCACATATGGCTCTCTTGGCCAGGACGGAGCCCCCAAAGAGCAAAGTGAGGGGCTCATGCCTCCATTGAGCTTGAAAAAATCTAGTAGTACCCTTCTACCTTGAGTTTTAACAACACCCCTTTATTTGAATTCATTTTGTTTTTAATAATAATAATAAGGATCATGCTTAAATATTATTGGATTCATATGTAAAAATAATGATAACCCCTCGCCTCATCTCTACACATGTACACCATTATGGGTGTCTGTGCTAGTTTTTTAAGAACTATGGATTTGATGGCAATAGACAAAACCCAGAAGAGAGAAGACTATAGATTCCTAATTTTATTTGATAAGAAAATTGAGCAAGAATGGGTTTGAATCCGGTATTTAAGGAACATAACTTATTATCATCTTTTTGTTTTTATTTTTAAATTTATTATCATATAGAGATTTAGTAAGATAAAATAAATAAGACAATAGGGATGTTATCAATTAGGAGATAATATTTTTTTTTAAATTGAAATAAAAGGGACACAAGTTTTAAAATTACTTAAAAGGGACAAAACTCTATTAGTTTTTTATTAAATTTAATGGAAAAGGATTAAAAGACATAAAAGCTCATACGCTAATATTTATTTAAAAAATTCAAATAAAATTAGTAGAAAATGCAAAAAAAAAATGAATAACTAAATTTTTTTATAAAAATTAAAAAACCAAAAGAAAATAAAATTTATAACAGAAATTAAAAAACAAAGGAAATGAACATTATTATGGAAAAAAGTAAGTTTAAAAAATAGAATAATTACGGAAAGTTGTGGAGTTTTGACTATTTTTAAGCTATTTTAAAACTTATGTTCCTTTTTCTTTTAATTAAAAAAAAAAGGGTTCCTTAATTGATAGTATCCTTTAAGGTACGTTTGGTTTAAGAAATGTTGGATTACTGGAATCTTGTATTACTTTGAAGAATACTGAGAATCTTTAAGAAATTGTGTTTGGTTAGTTGGAATAAATTGGTAGGTATGTTATATTAATATATTTTGTTAAGAGGAAGAAATTGTTGGGTACGTTATTTAAATTACTAAATTACCCTCTTTTTAAATATTAATATAATATTTTTTATTATTAATTATTAAATACTTCTTTTAACCCCAACATTTCAAATTTAGCTAAAACACCCCCGCTTATATAAAACTTTAATTTATAGCAAACTCACTCCCACCACCCTGCCGCCACCGCAAACCACTGTCGGAAGTCACCATGAGCAACCCACCGTGACCAGGAGACCCCGATATGACCCTTTTTTGTCATATTGATGGCCAAAAATGCCATATCGGGGGCAGATCTAGGCGAAAATGGCATGATCTATTTTGGACATTTCCGACCAGATTGATGGGTCTGGCTGTTAACGACCAAACCCATCAATTTGGCTAAAAATGGCCATAATAGATCTAGCCATTTATTATGGCCATTTCCGGCCATATCTGCTCCTGATATATCCTTTTCGGCCATCAATATGGCCAAAAAAGGTCATATCAGGGCCTCCCAGTCACGGTGGGCTGCTCACGATGACTCCAGATGACTTCCGACGACTTCTTGTGATGGCCAACAGTGGTTTGGCTGGCGACAAGTGACAACAGGTGGGACGAGGGGTGACTTAAGTAAACTGAAATTTGTTTTGATTTCAAGGGTAATTTTATCCAAAAAAAATTAATTAATTTGAGTGAAATAGTAAAAACAAGATTCATGTAAATAAATTTAAAAATAAAGACATTATTATCCTTAAATTTTATTAAAAAAAGATAAAATTGTAACAAAACAAAATTACCTAAGTAATCTTATAATACCTAAAAATAAAGATAATCAGATTACTTTCAATATTATCAACAATAATCACTATTGGTATTGGTATTGAAATTTAAAGAGTACCTATATCTATAACCCTAAGCCAAACGCCGAATATATAATCCCTTGTTAATCTAGAATGAATGAGTAATTAACGATAGCGCATTTTGTGACTTGGTTTACATTTCATTGAAGTGAAGACGTAGACAGTTGGTCTAATCCAGCTGTAAGCGGTAAGAGATTCACCTAATTAGGTTAGGACGGTAGTAGTCGGCGCAATACCATAATTTTCCATGCTCGAAAAGGGAGAAAAGGCTAAGAATAAGAATAAAAAATAAAAAGTCAACCATTAACTAATAAAACTTCAAGTCGTTTATGTACATATATGTATAAACTCGTTTTGTTATAATACCTAATCTTCTTCTTCTTCCAGCCATAATTCAAATCTTCCCCTCAAACAAAGCATTTGAAAAAGAATAATATTATATTTAATATAAAAATGGTGGAGCAACCCCAATCTATGTCTATCTATTCCACCAACTATAACCAACTTAATTCCTACTATCACCAAATCCCACCTTTTTCATTCACATATATTTACACAAACCCCAAACCTCAAGTAAAGAATATGCCAACCACCCTACTGCAGGGAACAAATCATCTTCTTCTTCTGCCAAATTCCCACTTTAAGAATATGATCTTATCAATCCGAGATTGTATAGATTCCTTCTCACTAGACTCCCTAGTGAGAACAATACTGTCCCACCAATCCCAACTGTTTGCTCTTCACTTTCTGCCTTTTCATTATATATCAATGGCAATTCCTTCACTTTCAAATTACTCAATCCAACTTTTTGTCTAACTGCTTCAATTATCTTTGGATCAGCAGGGTTTCCTATGGCATCTGTTACATAGAATGCGTTTAGTGCCATCTCGCTTCTTGTTGATATTTCAGCTCTTGTGATATTAAGACCATTTTCTCTAAACGTTCTTGTCACATCTGCCAATAGCCCTTGCCTATCTTCCATACATAATTCTAGCCTCACACCCTGTCATTACAAGTAAATTGCACATTACTATTTGCAGATCAAACAAACATTATAAATGAAGTTATTCAACTCAGAACAAATGCAAAATTATACCTCAGATGCTCTTCTTCGCACTGCAGCTTGTAGGCATTGAATCACACGTTGCCTTTCAGGTTCTGAACTAATTGGAGTCCCATCAATGTGCTTAATATAAAATTCCTGAAACAACATTGAGAAATACTTAGTTAATAAGACAACTAATATCATCAAAAATTTGAGGAACTAACAGATAATACAATAAAAGAAACAATAAGTACCAGATATGCTCTATCTCCGGTTGTGTTAATGGTAGCATGAAACACCACATATTCCATGTCTGTCAACGTGCAAACAACATCGAACAAAAGCTTAGTCCTATCCTTGCACTGAACATTCACAACTGAGTAACCTCTTTCCACCCAATTTTGCACCGTTACTACAGGGTAATTAGTACAACGACTCAAAATGGGCTTCCTCTCATAATCCCTATCTGCAAACATCATCTGATGTAGCCTTCTCTCTGTGTGAGTGACCTCCATAGAAACAGTCGTTTTAGCACTCCTAATGTCATTATCCCCTTTCAAGACATTCCTTAAGCGTGCCTCGATTCTATCAATTTGTTGTGAGTCCTCAATTGGAGATCCTGAATTGCAATCTTTCACATAAATCAGCGAAGCAATTCGGCCATTGTGAGTCCACACTTTCGCTTCTACCACATTACACTGTAATTCAGCTAATACTGCAAAAACCTCTGACATTAGCCCAACACGATCCGTTCCAGTTAGTTCAAGTGCAGTTAAACCGCTAAAATCATTAACTCTTCCATGGTCCATGGTTCCAAGCGACTGCATAACAGAAACATAACGAAAACATAAATTTTCAGCTATAATATTGATCACCAATTAGTTCCAAAAATTAATTCCAAAAATTAATTCCAAAAATTAATTCTAAGATTATTTTTGGATGTAAATTTCTAAAATAAATAATATTTACCTCCTCAATGCAGCGAATAACTCTTTCGTCCGTTAATTTGTTTCCATTCAGATCAGTCACATGGAAAACTAAATACATAAAAAAGAAAAGCGTGTAAATATTACTTTCAAAGAAATTCTAACCAAAAAAATTAAAAATTAAAAAAAAAATTACCATCCATGAACCACCGTCCATCAGAAGAAATGTAAGCCTTTTTTATTGAAAGGTCCAGATCCGTGAGAACCTGAACAGCTTCTAACAAGATTCCATGTCTTCTAGCACTATCAACCTATGAAAAAAAATGACCAAATTAATGTTAATGACCGAGTTTCAGCCACTAAAATTAACACTGGTTCGTGTGTTTGTCAATTTTGTTATCAGTTCGTGGAAGCTAACCTTGACGAGAGTCGCAGTAGGGCAAACGGCATTGTCGATGACGACCCTGAAAAGCACCGAAAGGTCAAGTCAGTGAAACTGCTTTTTGATTTTGAAAATTCAAGCGATTGTATGAGAAATATCAACCCAAGACAGAGATCTTTGAAAAGTCTAAAGCAAGATTTAAGAAATTAAATTCTAGAAGGATGAGAAGAAATTGAAGAAAAGTCAGACAAATATTAAAATATTCGTTAATTAGACTAGTTTTCGTGATTATACTTTGATACAAGTCTTGATTTTCATGGCCAGATCTCGTACAGCACTAAAGGCCATGAATTTTTGTAAGAAAAATTTAAAGAAAGAAATTTAGAAATAATTTAAAAAAAAAAAAAAAAAGAGAGAGAGAGAGAACCCCGAAACAATTAGTGAACTTAAAAGTTTGATTTCAAGAAACAATGAACAAACCTGGGAGTGTTCATCCTGATAACAAGCTTCTCGTATTCATCTAAACAAGTGTGCCACTCCATTGTTTCTCTTTATTTCAACAAGCCTTGTATTTCCACCTTTAATAAGGCAGGAAAGTATGAAAGAATGAACAAGAAAGATAACAGAACAAATCAAATACCAGATCCTCTAAAAACTATAGCTTTAAATCCCTTCTTCAATTCTTCGACCAAATCGCTTTATCAACTCCCACCAAACTCTTTCTCTCCAATTTTCTTGTTTTGTTTTCTCTTGAAAAACCCAATTACCAAACTAAATTTATTTATCTCTCTTCTATGCAAGCGCAACGCAAACCACGCCTTCTTCTTTAACTCTCTCACTCCCTTTTTTATATGCCTACAATATTTTTTAAATTTTAAACCACGCGTCCACCCCTTCTAAAAGGAGGAATTACACGAGCAAGGTCAACCAGCGTCAAGCCACGTGTCTTTTGATCCTCAACTCTGGTTGGTTAAAATTTCCAGCTCCGATGCCACGTCTGTAAGTGAAGTGTACTTTGCGTGCGTTCGACTCAATAGAATGGTTGATGCTTCATCAACGGGAAGGGTCAGTCCATCTGGCAAAATGGTGGGTCCCATTATGGCTTGTTAATTAAGTTGTGATTTTGCCGACCCAAATTATGACGTCCACACGTGACGACACCGCTCGTATCGGCTTTTCCTCTGTCACTTTTTCGGGCCGGTTTTCTTGTACTTTTCGGTGTATCTTTGCTCTTTACCCTTCCTAGTTAGGGAATTTATTACTACTTTTACCGTCCCCGTAGTTCCAAAATTTTTATCCTTTCAGCGGTAGGGGTAAATCCGTCTTCTAGCATCTAATTCTTAAAAATATCGGATCTTTTCCATATACAAGTTGTGATATAGAAGATTCATTCTCATACATTAGATCGAGTTGTGTTATAAGCACATTCGACTTTAATCACTTTAGCTTAGATTTATTTTTAAAAGAGAACGCTAACTTAGGTCAACACTTATAGGAGGAAATGAATAATTATAAATTTTTATGAGAGAAAATCAATATTATATAAAAGGAAAAAGTCAAATTAGAATCGTAATGTGATTAATAGTAAAGAATTTGAATTTCATGTTCATAAAAACTAATTTATTAATTAATACATTATTAACCTGATAGAATTTGGTAAAAATCTTTACTATAATTTCTTATAAAGATTTTATCCAAATTCAGTTTTATTAAAATATCTTCTTAATCAACAAGCTCTCATAATATGTAAATTCATTAAGCAAAGCATGAAATTTTTTGAAGACAAGCTTGATTAAAATGACTTGAAATCTATTTAATTTTTTTTTTTTTTTTAATACAACTCAAAAGTTTCTATCATATAGTAATTTTTACAATAATTATTTGCACTGAGAAATCAATCATCTTTTACGCTAATTCATTTTTCATGAGATTATTATAGAAACAATCAAATTTGTCTTTACAAAAATTTATTAAAAAAAAGTCGGTCGAAACGAAGGTGGATGCATTGAATTGGTCGGTAGAACAAAAACTGGACGCGTGACTTGGACGTAGTCGTGGAGGCACGCTCTCGAACTTATTATGTCTTTGTCTTCCTTCCTTAAACAATGGGTTACATTTAAACCCTTAAAAAGCTGGACACGTTTTGAACTCACAACTTATGCTGTCATAAACACGGCTCAACGCCACAACATAGTAGGTCCCATTGTCTGACGATCACGTGCAGGCCTGTCAGAAACCACGTTAACTAAACTAGTTAGTTAATTTTAAGCGCTAATTTTGTCTCTACCACTAACTCCTCCTACGTGGCATCAGCATGCGCCGTCTCTACAGTTACACAAACATAGATAATACCGTCATCACCAGGATGGCTCTCAAAACCTTGCCACGTGGTGAAAAATACTTTAAACTCCCCAAAACGTGCGTACCACTAACTAAAACTAACGCCCACCCAAACTTTTGAAGATTGAAGTTTGTAATTGTTAAAAAACTCTGGGCGGGAAAGCAGTGATCTTCCCGCCAAATCAGACGGCGGTGGGACCATGTCGGCAAGGGAAAATCTAGATGGATAACGGAGTTGGGAAAAGAAGGACCCAGTGGGTTTGACGTGGAGAGCGGGAATAATGAGAAATAAATAGTGCGGCTTTTAGCAGCAACGAAAGGGTGATGTAGATGACACCTCATTAACCGGCTAACTTTTTTGAAAATCCCGCCTGGGTTTGCTTTTGACCATCAAGACTTGGCGCCAAACCTGGAAGTCATATTCACATGGTGAGAGATTGATTTAATACAGCAGCGCCGCATATTTCTCCGTGAGACACTGGAACCAATGTTTTCCTCTAACGTTATTAAACATGACTAATTTAATTAACACAAATGATTTCTTGCGAATTTTTATTATTAAAAAAATATTATGGTTGGTCAAACAAGAATTTGACACATTCAGAATGAGAAGTTGGTCAAATGAGTAGCATGTGCATAGGGGTGAAGCATGCTGTTTAAGTAGAGCACTAGCTCACAAAGTAGAGAATTTGACTTGGTTTTCAAAAAATAGTTTCTGAAATCAGGCATGTTTTCTCCCACTCCCATGTTATTATAATTAAAATATTTATACCAATTACCAAATTAATAGACTGAGCTGATACTTACTGACAATAAAGGATAAAAAAATAAATATAGTGTTGACTGTTGAGAGCATGAAAGTAAGTGATAAACATAAGGCAAAGCAATTTAATCAAGAAGGGAGTTGACGCTTGGCGGGTTAATCTGAAACTGCAGAAACAATTGGAGTCTTATCCATACTCTCTAGCACTAAAAAATAAACCTAATACAATACCAAGACCAATACAAATAATCATAATTACATTAACACAATGATATATATTGATAATTACTTTTATTGAATATATTTTAATCATAATCGACGTGGTGTGTTTATTGGTAATAATTTATGTAAAAAAAGTGATGAAATTACATCCAGCATTTTTCATAGCAACAAGTAATTGAAAATAATGCATATTTTTTGAATTAATAAATTATGTATGGTTGAGGTTGACAAATGCAGGTAGTTAAAGCATCAAATGTTTGCCAGCTGATGAAAGAGAGAGAGATTGGTTTGGTGTGCCCAATGGCTTTGGGTTAAACCTCCATTTGACCAAAAATATCAACATTGAAATAAATATATGGAAAAAGGTTAATATCAACTCGCAAATTTTGGTACCCTATTAGTGAAAGCCACTATATACATATTTCAATAGGCAAATTTTGTAATATGAATCATAAAGAAAAGAAATGTGGAAGACATTGGAGAATTTTCACTTCATTAACTATGCTTTTTAGGAATGAATTAAATCAACCATCTTCCTAAAAAGCAAAATAAATATATATAAATGCTAATGCAAGAATTACACCAATTAGAGTGATCCGATTGACCTAATCGGGATAAAAACTGATGTGTACATAATTACGGATAACCAAAAATGAATAAATAATCAGTGCAGTAAAGTAAATGGTAAAGAGATTTTTAAAGTGGTTCGGCGAGCTAAACTCTTGAGCCTACATCTACTATTATTGTATTTGATGTGAGAGCTTACAATAACAATCCTAAAATAATTTATCAACCCCTTTCTCCTCGTTGGAGGGGGTTTATATACAAAGTTTATGCAAAGGAAATAGCGAAAATAAATAGATTACAATTAAGTTTAAAATGTAACTCTAATATTCTTGCGATTGGGCATTGTGATTGCACAATGATTGCTGTTGATCTGATCCTTCCAGAGATATTCGGGATCTGAAGTTATCTGTGAATTGCTTGAACAACTGCCAAGATTGGTCGTGATTAGCTTGTGCTAGGTCGAGCTATAACTCGATGAGCTTATGCTGAGTCAGACAATCAGTAGAATCGAGCTGGTCTTGGATCGGGCTATAACCTCACAATACTCTGAGTTTGGTGGAAAAATCACACATAACAATAAAATATGTAAGTATATCACTTTCCAACATGGGTGCCTAAGTTCGAGTTCCCCTAAGAACTAATAGAGGTGGTCATTAAAGAGATTTACTCAGTTGTTCAAACCCTCAAGGATTGGTCTGGTGGTCAAAAAAGTTTGTTCTATTCTTTAAGTTCTTAGGTTCAAACCTTGAGATTATTTCTTAGGTTCAAACCTTGAGATTATCTGTCATAATAACATTTTGACTTACCTAGTCTTTTGGGCTTGTAAGGTGTTTATTGAACCCTAAAGATTAGTTGAGGTACGGGCGTAAACTGGCCCGGATACCTTAGTTACTAAAAAACCAAAAAATAAAAACATCTAAAATTGGTACTTTTAATTTCCTGGCATGCGTCTGTTGAAGAGCTTATTAATTGTGCATTAAATAACATATTTGTTATAATCCTAATCTTCTTCTTCTTCTCTCAGCCATAATTCAAATCTTCCCCTCAAACAAAGCATTTGAAAAAGAATAATATTATATTTATATAAAAATGGTGGAGCAACCCCAATCTATGTCTATCTATTCCACCAACTATAACCAACTTAATTTCACTATCACCAATCCCACCTTTTTCATTCACATTATTTACACAAACCCCAAACCTCAAGTAAAGAATATGCCAACCACCCTATGCAGGGAACAAATCATCTTCTTCTTCTGTCTGCCAAATTCCCACTTTAAGAAATAGATCTTATCAATCCAGATTGTATAGATTCCTTCTCACTAGACTCCCTATGAGAACAAACTGTCCCACCAACCCCAACTGTTGGCTCTTCACTTTCTGCCTTTTCATTATATCAATGGCAATTCCTTCACTTTCAAATTACTCAATCCAACTTTTGTCTAACTGCTTCAATTATCTTTGGATCAGCAGGGTTTCCTATGGCATCTGTTACATAGAATGCGTTTAGTGCCATCTCGCTTCTTGTTGATATTTCAGCTCTTGTGATATTAGACCATTTTCTCTAAACGTTCTTGTCACATCTGCCAATAGCCCTTGCCTATCTTCCATACATAATTCTAGCCTCACACCCTGTCATTACAAGTAAATTGCACATTACTATTTGCAGATCAAACAACATTATAAATGAGTTATTCAACTCAGAACAAATGCAAAATTATACCTCAGATGCTCTTCTTCGCACTGCGCTTGTAGGCATTGAATCACACGTTGCCTTTCAGGTTCTGAACTAATTGGTCCCATCAATGTGCTTATATAAAATTCCTGAAACAACATTGAGAATACTATTTAATAAGACACTAATATCATCAAAATTTGAGAACTAACAGATATACAATAAAAAAACAATATACCAGATATGCTCTATCTCCGGTTGTGTTATGGTAGCATGA